AAAACAGCTGGTGGGTTCTAACCACTGATCTTTTGTTTAGTAGCTAAGTGGTTTAACCACTGTGCTACCAGGTTCATTTCTCACCACTTAGATGGCCAGAGGACCCAATTCAGAGTGGGTTCCAGGGGGGGCAGTTCTTTTTTGTGTATTTCAGCTTCTGGCAGCCTTGGTTCCCTGGCACCATCGCTTGGCATCTATCTGCCTGTTTGTGCTTCCTTGTCTGTGTGTCCTGCTCATTATATCACTCATACATAGTAAGGCTTAAGACACACCCCACCTTGCTATGCCCTTATTAACAAAACAGACAAACTCTGTTTCCAGTATGGGTCTATCCACAGGTTCAGGGGTTAGGATGCCAACATATTTTGGGGACACAATGTTCAGTCCAACACTGGGAGTTGTGTCCAATTTTGATCCCTTTCTGAGTGGTTGGCATTGGTAGTTGGGCACCATCTAGTTCTTCTGGTCTCAGGGTCATATGGCTGAGGCTCCGATGGTCTACTATTCTCTTGGACTAATTGTTTCCATGTGGCTCCTGCAGTGGTCCAAAGGTGAGGTGAGGCACTTGAAAAAGGATACTGCACGTTTTGTCAAAACAAAGTCACCTCTTTTTTGTGTGCTCCTTGCTGCAGGGCGCAGGGGTGGCTGGGTCCTGGCACCGTGCAAACCTCTGCATTCAGTGCCAGTGAGGTGGAGTCACTTAAGGAGTGGAGGAGTTGGCAGTGTCCTTCATTCTTGGCTGGGTAGGGTCAATGTGTGGACAGAAACAGGCCCCCTCCATTGGTGATCGAGCCACAGTGGGCTCCCAGTGAGGCAGGGAGGGAGCTGCAGTGGTGGGATGCATGTGGTGTTCAAGGGAGGTTTGGAGAACGCAACACTATTTGCAACCTTCCCTCCTTTCTGCAAATATTTATGAAACTCTGTCTGCAGTGTGTCTGACACAGTTTGTGTGTTTGTCTGTCTGCTTGGCATGTATGAAGCACTCCATAAATATTTGGGTGGATGGATGAGTGAAGGGATGAATGAATGAATAAATGAATGAATGAACGAACAGCAAGTGCTGAAGATACATGGCCCCCCTGTCTCTCCCTAACGGAAGGCATTGTTTCACCCAGGCCCTGCTCCTCCTATCTGTCACTGCTCCTGCCTTACAGGAGGTCCGACCCAGGTCGGAAGCCTTGGAGCCCACAGATTTCATTCCTGGGAGTCCCCTCCAGCACTGAGCAGCTGGATGCCCGTGGGCAGGTCACTTTCACTGTGAAATGAGGGGTAATTGGTAACCTCCTGTGGCTTAAAGGTGGGCAGGAGGGCTGCTCTAGCTGAGGTGGGCAGGGAAGACCTCTTTGAATAGAGGCACAAAGTTGGAGCAACCCATGCGAAGACTCAAGGAAGGAGTCTCAAGGCCCGAGTGGGATCCTGGTTGTCTTCCAAGATGATCTAAGGAAGATCTGTTGGGAGCATAGTTCGAGAAGGGAAGAGAGGTAGGCAGTACCCTCAGACAGAGAGGTTCCGGGGCAGGTGAGCAGCACTGTGGAGTGTAGTGGGCCTTTGGATGGCTGACAAAGTATCTTTATCTGTGACCGAGTTAACAAAGACATCAGAGAATGTCTCTAGTCAATGGTTCTTGAACCTAGCACACACAAGGGACATAGGAAATGAGGCAAATCATCTATTTCAAAAGTCAGTTTTGAATATGCTAAAAGACAAACACCTGTCACCTTACACTGTTTTTCCTCCTCTGTTAGCAGTTTGGATTATTTAAAAGGAAAACTACTCTAGTGGTCAAGAGATTACACAAAACAGAGGAACTGCAACTAGAAATAGTGTCCCGAGGAGAGGGGCTGACGCCTAGCCAGTGCTTGTTCTGTGCTAGGCGTCTGTTAACTCATGTGCCCCTCCTAGCAACTCCAGGAGGGTGTGTGCTGTCCCCTCCCCATGTTACAGCTGGGAACACAGAGTCGCAGAGCAGTGCCTTGCCAGGGACTTGAACTCACGCCGTCTGGTTCCAGAGCCCCTTTTGTAACCGCCATGCTGTGCTGTTGACAGAGTAACAGAGATTACGAGCCAGCACAGCTAAGCTGCAGCTAAGAGCTGAAATAAGCTGTGCCCAGATGGTGTGGCCTTGAGATGACCATGGGACACCCCACAGCCCTCCCTCAACCGGCTCAATTGTCTGAGGATGCGTCCTGCCTCCAGGGGCCACGGGTGTAGCCCTTGCTAAAGAAAAGCACCGAGGCAGAAGGGGTCCCAGTGAAGATGTTTCCAAGCCAGAACCCCAGCCCCAAACTGCTCTTGAGGCAAGGAGGATCCCTCTAGATCCCAGATGTCCCCCAAACTGTCTGGGGCAGTGTGGCACTGTGGAGCTCTGCTAATAGATAGGAAGCCAGAATCCCTGAGAAAGAGAACAGAAAGGCTCCCCAAATAGCAGGCTAGTCCATTTCTCGTCCTAGTAAGCACTCCAGTTGACCCACCAGACCCCCAGCCGAGAAGCCCAGCTCTCCAAGCTGCAGCGGGTACCCAGGAGCCCCCTGCTGGAAGTTTCTGGGATTGCCAGTCCTGGTCTCACCCCAGATGTCTTGCTCGGGAACCTCCGGAGGCTGTAAGATGACTCACACACATTCCTGGTGAAGAACCATGGGCTTGGATAGTTGTCTGACTTCTTGGAGGCCTGGACTGTTTATAAAATCTACTTCAGGTTCTTTTATGATAGCCTTCAGCACGAGCAGTCAGTGAGAACCAGCTGTGTGGCAGACACTCCTGGGTACTGGGGATGGAGCATTGAACCAGACAAAAGTCCCTGTCCTCAGAAAGCTTATATTTTTACACAGTGGGGAAAGCCACAACCACGCTTTGTCTGTGGTTGCATTTTTCTTTTGTTAAAGTGCACCGACTGGCAGGCGGCTGTTTCCGCTCTGGGCAATTCCAGTGCACTGTTTGTACTTAAAACTGAGTGAGCAGGGCTTCCATGCCCGGGTAGGCAGGGCTGGTGGAAGCAGTGGTACATTTCCTCCTTGCAGTCATTGGAAGTTGGGAGCCGTAGGTCTTCTGAGCAGCTTCGAAGGCTTTCTTCCTTTTGGTTGGCTTCCTTTTATTGCTCTGTTGCTTTTGCTAAAGAGATAAAATCCACAGATTTCGTGAGTAAGCAACAACATTGGAAGCCAAGCGTTTACATTACTTCATTCCATCCAGAGGAGCTGTACTCAGGATGATCAGGGCCTAAAATGACTGCATCGGTGAGGGATTGTGGCGGGCCCACGAGCTCACTGTGGACACAGTGTCTGACAGCCTCAGCACAGTGCGCCTGGATTCTGTGTCGGTTTGGAATTCTGGGATCCTGGACACGGTTCTGTGCTTTGGAT